GCCAGGGCTGCCCCTCCTCCTTGCTCGGGCAGGTTTCGACGTTCGTTGTCATCGGCTTACTAGCCACTACCTCTCCATTTATCATCACTCCATTTGTCTTGTCTTGTCAATCACACACACCTGGTACTCATTCCCTCATTAGTCTGTGTTTAAGTGTTCCCTCTGCCCCCTTGTCCATTGTGAGTGATTGTTCATTGTGAGAGTGAGTAGCTCGATTGATGTAGCCAAGGTGGATTTTTCCCTTGTGCTAGTTTCGTTTTGACGCTTGCTGCGCTTTATTCATGTACACTGAATAAACTCTGGATTTCGGTGTTTTCACCTCCTGCGCCTGACTCTGTCATTCACACCTCATCACATGGAGAACCCGATCCATTGCTTCGCCCAAGCTGGCTAACATGTTGGAATGCTCCCGGACCCGCTCAACGACTCCAGGCATATTCTCTGCTCCTGCTGACTCCATGCTGATGGGTGTGTGATTCTGTAGCAGGTGATTTGGACAGAGTCAGGCGCAGGAGGGTTAATGCAGGAGGGTAAATCACAGAATAAATGGTTTATTCGGCAAATACAGCGGTTCGCAGCAATGCGTAAAACAACTACAGTGCGGTATAACGGCGCACTGGAGAAAAACAAAACACACAGGTGAATATCCCGCCGATACAGTACATAAAGCTCCACCGAGCTATCGACACCTCCACATGAAACAATCACACACAAAGACATGGGGGGCAGAGGGAATAGTTATAAAGGGACTGACGAGGGGACATGAACCAGGTGTGTATAAAAAAACAAGACAAAACAAATGGAATGATGAGATGAGAAGCAGCAGTGGCTAGAAGGTCGTGACGACGAACGCCGAAGCCTGCCCGAACAAGGAGAGGAGGCAGCTTCGGAGGAACTCGTGACAAATAATGAGATGAAACAACTACACTGAGAAAAAATACAAACACAACATGTAAAGTGTTGGTCCCATGTTTCATGAGCTGAAATAAAAATATTCTCAGAACTGGTCCATACACACAAAAAGCTTATTTCTCTCAAATGTTGTGCACACATTTGTTTACATCTCTATTACTGAGCATTTCTCCTTTGCCAAAATAATCCATCCACCTGAAAGGTGTGGCATATCAAGAAGCTGATTAAACAGCATGATCATTACACAGGTGCACCTTGTGCTGGGGACAATAAAAGGCCACTTTAAAATGTGCAGTTTTGTCACACAACACAATGCCACAGATGTCTCAAGTTTTGAGGGAGCGTGCAATTGACATGCTGACTGGAGGAATGTCCACCAGAGCTGTTGCCAGAGAATTGAATGTTCATTTCACTACGATAAGCTGCCTCCAATGTCGTTTTAGAGAATTTGGCAGTACGTCCAACTGGCCTCACAACCGCAGACCACTTGTAACCACGCCAGCCCAGGACCTCCACATCCGGCTTCTTCACCTGCGGGATCGTCTGAGGCGGGGGTGGGTTGCTGAGGAGTGTTTCTGTCTGTAATAAAGCCCTTTTGTGGGGAAAAACTCATTCTGATTGGCTGGGCCTGGCTCCCCAGTGGGTGGGCCTGACTGCCAAGTGGGTGGGCCTATGCCCTCCTAGGCCCACCCATGGCTGCGCCCCTGCCCAGTCATGTGAAATCCATAAATTAGGGCCTAATAAATCAATTTCAATTGACTGATTTTCTTAAATGAACTGTAACCCAGTAAAATCTTAGAAATTGTTGTATGTTGCGTTTATATTTTTGTTCAGTATAGATTATTATTTTTTTACAGTGCACACACACACACACACACACACACACACAGTCACATAGTCAGTAGATAATCTTTAGGAGCAGATTCGTGTCTCAGTTGGGGCTTTTCCTGGCGTCAGCTAAAATAAACGATGCCAAAAACAGAACTCTGGAAAAACCCAGATTTCCTCTTTGGCCATTGGTCAGTTCTCTGCTACCCAATCGTTCAATTGGCCCATTATATTGTCTCCCGCCTCCCACCCCCCTGTGGTGTGCATGTGCCAGATAAACTGCCATGGTCATGATGGTATTGTTTAGCTGTGTGTGTGTGTGTGTGTGTGTGTGTGTGTGTGTGTGTGTGTGTGTGTGTGTGTGTGTGTGTGTGTGGTGTGTGTGTGTGTTATAGAGCCGTGTGGTTGGCTGAATTGTTTAGCTGGGAGAGAGTTCTGAGGAGGTCATATCAACACCAAGGTCTAGAGAGAGAGAGGGGGGAGGGGAGAGAGAGAGAGAGGGGATGGATGGATGGATGAGATGGATGGATGGATGGAGAGAGGTAGGATAGATGGAATGAGAGAAGAAAAAAGTTAGTAAAGAGACAGAGAAAGAGAGAGAGAGTGGGGGAGTAGAGTATTTGTGGGAGAAAGAGTTGGAAAGTTGGAAAAAGTTGGAGAGGCGAAAGTGAAAAGTGGAGTAGAGAGGGTGTAAAATAGGGAAGGGGGGGGAGAGGGAGGGGAAGAGTAGGGGGGGGGAAGAGAGGAGGGAGGGGAAAAGAGGGAGGGAAGAGGGGGAGGGAAGAGGGAGGTAGGGGGAAAGAGGGAGGGAAGAGGGAAAAGAGAGGGAGGGGAAAAGAGGGAGGGGGAGGGGAAAGAGAGGGAGGGAGAGGGAGGGGAAAGAGAGGGAGGGTGGGGGAAAGGGAGGGGAAGAGGAGGGGAAGAGAGGGAGGGGGAAGAGGGAGGGGAAAGAGGGAGGGGGAAAGAGAGGGAGGAAGAGGGCCAGGGGGAAGAGGGAGGGGAAAGAGAGGGAGGGAAGGAAGAGTGGAGGGGGAGGAGAGAGGAGGGAAGAGAGGGAGGGGCAAGAGGGAGGGGGAAGAGAGGGAGGGGGAAGAGAGGGAGGGAAAATAGGGGAGGGGAAGAGAGGGAGGGGAAAGAGGCAGGGGGAGGGAAGAGGGAGGGAAGAGAGGGAGGGGGAAGAGAGGGAGGGGGAAGGAGGGAAAGGAAGATCGGGAGGGAAATGAGGGGGGGGAAAGAGAGGGAGGGGGAGGAGAGGGAGGGAAAGAGAGGGAGGGGAAGGACAGAGAGGGAGAGGAGAGGGGAGGGGGAAAGAGGGAGGGGAAAGAGAGGGGGAAGAGGGGGACAAAGGGAGGGGAAAGAGAGGGAGGGGAAGAGTGCAGACGGGAGGGAAGAGAGGGGGAGGGAGAAGGGAAGAGAGGGAGGGGAACAGCGAGGGAAAGGAGGGAGGGGACAAGATGAGGAGGGGAAGAGGGAGGGGGAAGGGAGGGGAGGGAGAGAGGGAGGGGGAAGAGCGGAGGGGAAGAGGAGGGAGAGGGAGGGGAGAGAGGGAGGGGGAAGAGAGGGGAGGGAAGAGAGGGAGGGGAAAAGAGAGGGAGGGGAGAGGGAAGGAGGGAAGAGAAGGAGGGAAAGAGGGAGGGGGAAGGGAAAGAGGAAGGGGAAGAGGGGGAGGGGAAAGAAGGGAGGAGGAGGAGGGAAGAGAAGGGAGGGGAAGAGGGAGGGAGAGGAAGAGAGGGAGGGAGGGGGAAGAGGGAGGGTGAAGAGGGGGAGGGGAAGAAGAGGGAGGGGAAAGAGAGGAGAGGGGGAGAGAGAGGGAGGGGAAAGAGAGGGAGGGGAGAGGAGGAAGAGAGGAGGGGGAAGAGAGGAAGGAGGGGGGGAAGGAGGAGGGGGGGAAGAGGAGGGAGGGGGAAGGGGAGGGGGAAGAGAGGGAGGGGAAGAGAGGAAGGGGAAGAGGGGGAGGGGAAGAGAGGGAGGGGAAGAGAGGGAGGGGAAGAGGGAGGGGAAGAGAGGGAGGGAGGGGAAGAGGGAGGGGAAGAGGGGGAGGGGAAGATAGGGAGGGGAAGAGGGAGGGGAAGAGGGGGAGGGGAAGAGAGCAAGAAGTTACGTTTTTTCTTCATTGTGTTTCTTTATAAAAGTGATTTTGGGGTGGACATTGTGTGTGGTATGTATGTGTGTGTGTGTGTGTGTGTGTGTGTGTGTGTGTGTGGGTGTGTGTGTGTGTTTGTGTGTGTAAGTGTGTATGTGTGTGTATGCAACATCATAGATAAACTGAGTTCTGTCCAGCCACTCTCAGCAGGGATAATGATGATGACTCTATGACTCAGACCCAGACCTCCCCATGTCCCCCTAGACAGGGCTGGACAGGATAAGACAGACTCAGACACACACACCAGTGCCTCTAGCTTTCTTGGGGCCCTAAGCGAGATTTGGGCCCCAGACTCAGACACCCCCCTCCCCCACACACCTTTTAAAACGAATTTAATGCAATTCTACTCATTTTGCCATGGGGTCGGAGAGAGAATGTAGCAGTTTTAAAGATAATTTCCTGCAATTCACATTTTGACATGACTTATGCCAAGTTCATATGATATCTGTGTGAGAGTGACTAACAAAATCAATGGGGGCCCCCTGGAGGTCAGGGCCCCTGGGCACATCCCTGCATGCCCGGTTGGTAAATTGGTGCTGAGTAGGTTTATAGTTAGACTACCTTATCTAGCAATCTAAAATAGAAATCTGACATGGGCTAACTGAGTGACTGACATAACAATAGAAAAACTGCTGATGCACTACCAAATGTTGAAATTGCACATTGTGTATTCTACTATTTTAACTCTCAACAGTAAGTTGAGACCTAAAAATGGGGGCCCCGACTACACAAAAAATGCGCGCACCGAGCACACGTTGAGGCCAGATGTTTAAGATACAGAACTGAGAAACAAGATCAATTTATTACCCAGAGAGAAAATTCCTGTTTTTCTTTTAGAATAGAACAATGGAATATTAAAAACGTAACTTATTGACACATAGCTATTGGCCTATGACTACAAAGAAAGAAGGGCAGATGTAGGTAGGCCGAACATAGATAGGTAGCCTATATCTATGAAGCAGACGGACTTCCTAGCGTAATAATAATTGCATTTCAGTGTTGGTTTCTTTTTAGCCATAACCGAAAGTTTGTCCAAGACTCCGTCAAGTTTTTCTTCACGGTGGCTTCCTCCCCCCCCCTCTCCGCTTTTGTTCTTACTCACTCCCCCCCCCCACTACTCCGCTTTTGTTCTGGAACCGGAGCCGAGTAGAGCAGGGCACGAGGTGGTGGTCGGTATGGCGGGAGGCTCGAGCGGCGTCTCATTTCTCGGGGTTGTGCTGCTCGCTGCGATTCTGTTGCAGACCGTGGCCGTTACTGTCACCGTGCTATACTTCACTAACGTCCTCAACACGGTAAGAACCGGGGGGAAATAAGGGGTAGAAAAAATACACGTACTATTTAAGTATATAAGGTCGCTTGATGGAGCTTGGACTTTGCACTTTTGTGACTATTCCATTGGCTCCATTGTTTCGGGCAAACTAAATTATGTATGTTGAAAGCATTTGAAATATATTTGATCCAGGCTTGATACGGGTTATTTACCTTGTGTTTATGCGACGTTGTGTTGTGCGGTGCCAGTTCGCATACAGTTGGAGAAAGTAGTTATGTTGCAATAAAGCTTTTCCATGAAAACTTCTTGCTTTGCAAATGATTTCCCTGACTTGTTTGTTGATTGTGATAAACATTGCCAACGTGTGCAGAGAACGCCCAGTGCATTCTGTAAGATAAGGAGTGTTTATGTGTTGTAGTAGTGTAGTGTGCACTGGGTATAAGGAAGTTCTGTGCCGAGAACTGTGCAAAAGGTTAGTGTTATCTGGAATCCTTGGGACGTCCCTACCCTAAACCCTAACCTTAACCCCTACCCTACCCCTTAAATAACTCTAACCCTTACCTTAACCATTTTAAAGTTAAACTTCAATGGGGTAACATCAGTTGGGACGTCCCAATGATCCCAGATAGCAAGGACCCTGTGCAAAAGACTGTCTGCAAGAAAACTTTGTTGATATGCCCTTTATCCAATTTTATTGTTTTCTTATTGTTTCACCTTGTTTTTGCAGGGAAAGTTTAGTGCATACTGAAGTGCTTTGTTCAAGTGCTGATGAAACTGTAAATGTTTGACTTTTGTTAGGCTCTTTGTGTTCTCTCCTGCAGCTGTGTACTTTAGTAACCTGGATTATTTCCATAATGATTGAGCAACAATGCTGACTCTCCCTCTCTGCTTCCCTATACTCTCCCATTCTCCTCTCTCTCTCTCTCTCTCTCTCTCTCTCTCTCTCTCTCTCTCTCTCTCTCTCTCTCTCTCTCTCTCTCTCTCTTCCATCTCTCTACTCTCCGTCTGTCTCTCTCTCTCTCTCTGTCTGTCTGTCTGTCTCTCTCGTCTCTCTCTCTCCCTCTCCCTCTCCCTCTCTGTCTGTCTGACAGCAACAGAGAAATGTTATAAAGACTTATACAGACAGACAATCCATTTGAACATGGCAGTATTAGTTTCATTACAGCAAGAGTAAGTGAAGTAAACAACTGTTTATGATGCAACTCAACTCTGGTCCCCCAAGTATCCCTAACAACGTTAGCCTATCCACTTTGTTGTTCAGTCGAAGGTGTGTAGTATTCATTTAAATGTGTGTGTTGTTCAGATGAAGGAGACGTTTGCAAGGAGCAGTGTGTCGTGTCTGACACGGGCCGACCTCAGAGAGGGATACGTACGCTCCTCCACCGAGGGGAGAGGAGACCCCTGCTGGCAGGTCACACAGCAACTACACACCCTCATAGAGAAGGTAACACACATCCTCATTGAGTAGATATCTGCCTCGCAGGGGTCCCAGGTCTTCTGGTAGGACGAAGGGGCTCCCTATATAATTTACCATTATCCACAGATCTAGGATAAGATTACCCTCCCTTAATCCTAACCTTAACCATTAGGGGAGAAATGCAAAACTGACCTAAGATCAGCAACCTTACTCGCCTCAGAAGAGTTTCAGACATACAATGGGGTTTTTATAGTGCAGTCTGGGATGGGATCCACTGTGGTTTAATTAGCACTGGAATGTACTCACCTGGCCAGAAACACACGCGCACATACACTCACACACATTTTTTGCAAGAATGTTTTGGGCTTTTATTTGAAATATGTTAAATAAATAGCCTTTCTCTTCTCTCTCTCTCTCTCTCTCTCTCTCTCTGTCTGTCTCTGGCTCTCTCTCTGTCTTTCTCTCTCTTTCTTTCTCTCTGTCTCTCTGTCTTTCTCTCTCTCTGTCTTTCTCTCTGTCTTTCTCTGTCTCTCTCTCTGTCTCTCTCTTTGTCTCTCTCTCTCTGTCTCTGTGGCCCTGTGTAGCTCAGTTGGTAGAGCATGGTGTTTGGACGCCAGGGTTGTGGGTTCGATTCCCACGGGGGGCCAGTATGAGAAATGTATGCACTCACTAACTGTAAGTCGCTCTGGATAAGAGCGTCTGCTAAATAACTAAAATGTAAATGTAAAAATGTCTCTGTCTCTCTCTCTCTTCAGTCACTGTCTCAGCGATATCAGAGGGAGATCTCCTCAGCAGTTAGAGGTGAGATAACTACCTGTCTGACCTATAGAACTAGGGCAAAACGGCACCCTGTGATTTGAATTAGTAAAGCTGACATAGTAATAAGTAAGCAAGACTTGTCCGAGCCAGAACGGTTCATAGGGCAGGAGTGAGGAGCCTATCTCCTGTTTCTGTAGTGTGAGGCAGCTTGATGTACAAGTTCCATCTATGGACAGGATGCTAGTAAACCACTACATATAAGTAACCTTTAATGGGAATGTCCATTTTACAAGTTCTATGCTGTTATCACTGATTTATGTTTTGACTACACTAGGACAACTAATTAATGTTCTCGCTCTCTCTCTGTCAGGTGAGGTGTCCAGGGTGTTGCCCTCACTGGTGATGGAGGACCGGGCGCCTTCTCGCCCGAATGTCGCCGCCCACGTCACTGGCAGCTTGGCTCCCAAAGTAGAGAGGGAGGGAGGAGGTGAGACCTGTTTCAATTTTCACCCTTCATACTCTGCAACTACAACAGAGACACTGTGTGTGTGTGTGTGTGCACGCGCGTGTATAACCCTGTGAAGACTGGTGTTGAGAGTTTGATGAACACAGGTTAGACTCTGGGGGCATGTGGCTCACACCTGTGTGTGATGTGTTCTTCAGGTGTGTGTGTGTGTGTTTGTGTATAGTTCAGAGAGAGGGGAGAGGAGAGCTTAAAAGTGATTACATATCACTACAGTAACTAGTAATACAGGCAGCAAGCAGTATGTGTCCCATATGAGCTCTTAACCCAGTGGTAGATCTGGCAGAATACACCAACCCTCTCCTCACCATCTTGACAGACTGACAGCTCGGTGTGAAGTGTTACATTTATTGCCCAGGCCAAGTCTGTAGACATACAGTATGTTATGTGGTTCCATTTATGGCATCTTATAGCACACTTTCAATAATATTTATTGTGGGGATTGAGGCCATATACACTGAGTGTACAAAACATTAAGAACAGCTGCTCTTTCCATGACATAGACTGACCGGGGAGGGGGTGCAACTCAATATTAGGGAGGTGTTCCTAATGTTTGGTATACTCAGTGTCTGTAGACTGTTCTATTCTATTCTTAACCGATTATATTGTATTCTGTCTTAAGACCTAGCCCTGTCTAACTCCTGACCCTTGAGCTTGCCTACTATTGCCTTTCTCCTTCCTGTCTGGCCACAGGTTCTCCGGGATGGCGTGTGCAGGGGCAGAAGATCTCGTGGTGGGAGGGGCATAAAGGGCTGGCATTCCTTCAGGACGTCCGATTGGTTGACGGGGAGCTGGTGATGCCTCGCCCAGGACTCTACTATATCTACGCCCAGACCTACTTCAGACATACCCACCGAGAGGAGGGGGAGGAGGAAGAGGAGAGGGAGCAGAGGGGGAGACCCATGCTGCAGTATGTCTATAAGAAAGTGAGTTCACGGTACCACGCTCATTTTTCCTATAAGAATAGGACAAACAGTTGTCCTATAAGAATGTTTGTTTTTACGTTTTCGATAGCTATATGACATCTTGAGTGTTTATCAAAGGTAGTTGTAGTGATGGTGCTGTGTGTCCTCCTCCAGGTGTCCTCCTACCCAGTACCCATCCTGCTGATGAAGACAAGCCGGACTTCCTGCTGGTCCCGGGACTCCCAGTTCTCTCTGCACTCCGCCCACCAGGGGGGGCTGTTCCCATTGGCTGCCGGAGACCGCCTTCTCGTCACCGTTAGCAACGCCTCAGCCATCGACATGGATGAGAGGAGCAGCTTCTTCGGGGCTTTCCTGGTCAGCTAGAGGTCAGGAGTTAGTCTGCATGGTGACTCAAGAGGGCTGGAACCTGGGACACACACTGTTTGGGAGCCATGTGTGAATACTGACAGACACATCATTTGAGAGCTCTGTGTGTGGTTGTGTGTGGTTGTGTGTGTGTGTACAGCTGTACAAAGCTTTAAGCTGTGACTGTGCTGTACATGTGAGGCGGTGTGAGCGGAGCTTGTGTGGTTATCCAATCATCTTCCACCCTGGTGCCAATGATCCAGCCTTCCCTCACGGCTCATCAAGGTCTGTGCTGACTGGATGATTGTGAACGTCTTAATGCTCTTTTCATCCTAAAAGGACGAGTCTTCTTCTCCTGTTTATATGAACTCAGAGATGGTTTTAATGTAAAAATGAATGTGGGGTGTTTCTGTGTTATTACTGTATGGACATTGAATGTTGTTTGATTGTAGACTTTGACATATTCTTAACACAACCCCAAGCTCTCACCTGAGTAACACTGCCTGCAACCACACATTTAATTCAGCACTTTTTCACTTTGTTTCACAGTTAAAACGTTTCAGGCTAGGACCCAGGAGGCCCTACTGTAGCCCAGACCCTCCGTCACTATGGGAACCAGTGTTAGGACATGGGTAATGTTGACTTTGCTAAAATATGTATTGATTCTCCCACCGACAGACAGAAGATGGAATGATAGATATATCCGTAGTTACAGACAAGCAGAGACAGAGGTCTGGACAGGGTTGCCAGTTAAGCCACTTCAGTGGAGGAGAATCGTCTGCAGATGTTTTTTTGGGGGTTGAATTGTTTTACCATTCAATCATGACTCATGTAAATCCTGTGTGTGGCTGTGGAAGTGACGTTACCATGGAGACACAAACACACACTAAATATGTTGTCAATGTTAATCACTAGTGCTGGAGTCCAACTGCTCTCATGTAAATATGTGTACAATAAAGACACTAAAATAGGCGACCATAGCTTGTGGTCATGTATAGTAGTAAGCATTCAGTACCAGTCTATCACAACAAAACAGACATTACATCAAGAATCTCATGCCCCCTACTGGTAACAAGCTTAGGAGCTTCTGCTGCCTACCTGTGGGCAGTGCAGATATTACTGACTACAAGTGGACATACTAAAGACTGCAGGTGAGCTGACTCCACAGGACACCGAGGGTGTAGGAATGTGGTTTGTATGGTAAGTCATGTGAAGTAATTTGCGTAATGTGAATTATGATTATTTCATTGGACTTTAGTCTGATATGATTTCAGTTTGTCAAAAAGAGACAACACAACTTAAGGTTTTGATTTTCTTTTTTGTGGAAATATGTTACACGTATAATACAGGTTTTTAATGCCCGAGGGAAACAAAACGACAGTTGGAGACAGCAGAAACTAGCACTAATAGGACAGAGACATCATTTAGACAGAACCGCCCACACAGGATTTGATAGGCTGACAGCTGGAGTGGGTGTGGCCCACCGCTACCTAGGTTAGGTGACATCCAATAAATACTGCAAATGTTTGTTAATGTAACTTATAAAATATATCATAAAACATCCTCTTAAATGGAATTTGATAAGTTCTGTGTACAAAAACAAAAGTTCATAAATTACAGTCAGTCTACTGATGTCGGTCTGTGGCTGGGTCCTGCCAACAGGCCTGTCAAAAGGCACCCTATCCCCGATCTAGTGTACTGAGGCCCTGGCCAAAAGAAGTGCACTATCTAGGGTATAGGGTGCTATTTGGGACATTCAATTATCTTTGAACCACCCCTCCCTCTGACACACAGAGTAATGAGCCCATCGCAGGCCAACACATCACTGATAGTACAAAACAAAACTTCTAACCCTCACAAAATAAAAATCTCTGACCATACAGTAACGATATCCCTCTTCCATCCATCTCTATCATCAGTATGTAAGACCAAAAGCATGTCCCAGGCGCTGTATGGAGAGTGTGTATGTGTCTTGAGTCACACTCCCTCTCCCGCCTGTCACAGTAGCTGCCTTATCCTCAACCCTGCCCCTCCAGGCCCCTCTGCACAGCCCACTGGTCAATAATATCCAAGGAGGGCGGGTCTTCAACAGTCGAACCTCATGTCCAGCGAATCATCAAACCCCCTGTCCTCATGTCCTGCCCCTACCCCGGACAGGAAGGACACCCCCGTCGCTCCCGTTGCCGTGGTGATGAGCTGGTTGCCGTGCTGGGTGTTGCTGGTTGCCGGGCTACGCAGGGCTGCAGCTGTGATGGAGGTGAGGTTGATGCCGAGCGTGAGCCGCGTCTGTTCTAGAGCCTTCTCTGGAACCGCAAACGCCTCCAGCTTCTTCTCCCCGTTTGCCATGTAGGAGTTCTGGCAGCCACGGCAGATACAGTCCAGACATGCCTTGGAGGAATATTAATATTATTTACAATCAGTGAACTACATGGGGATAGGGGAACACTGATCTCAGACCAAGCCATTGCAAATCTATAGTAACTCACCTTGCGGTTGGAGTAGCAGGGGCAGCGCTGCCCTCTGCAGGTGAGAACAGAGGGGTTCTGAGTGGCTCTTCCACACTTACAGCCCTTCTTCTCCACCGGCTTCTTGTACAGGGGCTTGGATGGGCTGGGTGGGTGAGAGAGAGGGTGAGCATGGCCGTGGGGGGGAAGGCGGTCACGGGGCTGGGCGCGGGGTTTGGGGACTCCCTGCCTGGCCTTGGTGTAGGCCTTCTTAGGGCACCCGTGGTGCTCCAGACTCTTCTTCAGGCCTTTGGACGACACCAGCATTGTCTTGCCCACCTTGGGAGGCCCTCCGTTGGGCACGGGCGCCAGGTGAGGCGGGGTGATGGCGGAGGGGAGTTTGGGCTCCCGTTTGACAGTGGCGGCTGGGTTTGGGAGGTGAGGGGGGTTGGTGGCACCCAGGGGTGGGCCTCTGAGGATGGTGGCGATGGGGAGGGGCTGCACCTTCTCACTGTCGCTTTCAGAGCGTGAACGCTTGCGGTGGCAGTGAGGGGGTAGGCGGGGGAGAGCAGGGGTGGGCTGGCGGGGAGGCAGCGGAAGTCTAGTGATGTTCTCTGGGGGGAGGGAGGGGGTGAGGCAAGGGGAGTCAGGGGTAGGAGGGCAGTAAGATCCGTTGTGGGGGGGTACAAAGGGATTGTCTGACTGGGGGTCAAGTGGTTCAGGGTTGGGTTCTGGCTCTAAGGTCCTAAGAACCTCATCCACGCTCAACAACGGACCTCCGCCATGTTTATTAAGCTCCTCCCCAAATGTGCCAATGTCACAAAGTCCCGCCTCCCCACTACCTACCACGCCAACACACGCAAGTAGCTCCTCCCCCAAGCTCTCCTGCTTCAGAACACCTCCCCCTGTAGCTAAGGTAATAGGTGGTGGCACGTCCTGATTGGCCAGGCCATTACAGTCATGCAGCCCATTAACCCCGCCCACAGGGCTAAGCCCCTCCTCCTGGCTCTCCTCTGCAGGCGGAGCCTCATTAGGTCTGAGGTCAGACGTTGAGGGGGCCGTCGGCGACGACTGGCTCGCCAAATCCGTAGTGTCCTCCCCTTCCTGCTCGCTTTCGACCAATGACAGGCCCTCATTAAGAATGGCGAGGAGGTCGGGCGAATCACTGGCTGCGCTAGCAATGTGCGGGGCGAGAGGTGATTGGGCGATGTAGAGGCAGAGCTTCCTGTAGCAGTGGACCAATAAGGAGAGCTGTCTGTTCTCCTGGAAGCGGGAGTAGTCTTTACACCAGGAACAGGACGGCTTAAGCAGCATCCTCTGGCCCTTACAGCCCCGACACACATAGTGCTGGCACTGGGAGTTAGTGGGCGCTATGGGGTCCTGCAGTAGATTACCTGGAGAGAAGAGAATCATTTTCAGTCATTTATGGTAAGACAAACAACATTTATTTATCCTTTATTCAACTGGGTGAGAACCACTGAGATAGAAATCACTCCAACGGCAGAATTATAATTGTCCATACAACATAACACAATAAATCATAAACAGGAGCCATAATTATTATTAATAACGAGTCGATGACATGAAGCTTAGCGGTGGACTGATGATAGAGTACTACGGAGGTGGGCTATATATAGAAGTGATTCATTCAATTGCTGTTCCGCTCTGAATATTCAACTAATGCAGTGAGCACAACACAAAAGCAACAGCATATCAATTAAGTCAACGACATTGGTTTTAAATAAACCACTTTGTCATATAAATAGTAGAACATGGTCCAGGTAGGAAGTGAAGAGGGTTCATATTATGTTAAATGCTTATTTCAACCGTTTATAAACGGTTATATTCAAAGAGGCAGCTCAACACTGATTGCCTCTGCAAGGCTTGATGACCGCTGTGCTTTGAGAGCAGCTTCCTTAGCAACGGTCGTCGTTAGGGATGGCAGCTGAGAGAGCGGGCTCGCGCTGCAGATGGATGGATGAAGGGAGTTCCATTTAGAAACGACAACAAAAACGCCTTAGATATAGACCATGTAGGATGCATGCTCTACCCGTCACACAAACACTAAAGTGGCTGCAGTTCCGACTTCAGTCATAATCGAAATTGAAAACGATTAATTAAAATGCCAAATGGAACTGCCTACCCACATATAACAAAGCACGTGTACTACTATGCATCTGTCAAATTAAACATTGTGTGTGAAGGCTGGAGGTATATTTCACTTTATTTTTAAACAGAGTAAAAACGTCACCCCATTGAATTAACCTCTTTTATACTCATTAATCATTTGTAACAGTGACGGGGAAGGATATATGTGTGATTAGGCAACAGTTCCCTAAAAAGAAAAGAACAGGATGACAAACCAGTAGTATTCTTCACTGATCTCTGGCGGCTGCTCGGCTCAGCTTTCTTCCTGCTCAGGAAGGGGCTCGGCTCGAAATGCATTTTTAAAGACTGCGCACGCACCATCTCACAACACAAACATGCCCCCCACGGACAGTCACGAGGGCATCACAGAACAATGGACGTTGAATGAATTAATAAATATCTGACAAACACTCCCTTCTGTTCTGGATGTGCAAATACATGCACCTGTCCGACAGTGATTTAGTTACGTATGGGGTGGAGCAGGGAGGTTAGCTAGCTGGATGTGGTTAACGTTAATGCTATGACGTTAGCTATGATGAATGGGGAAATGTTGCTAACCAGTGCAGTAACTCATGCAAGTTTGATTTTATTCAAGCGATCCGGTCAAATTAGCCAGTCTAAGACTGGATCAGTGTGAAGCTATGGAATACATTGAAATGGATCGTAGGGAGACGCGCAGTAGTTAGCCTAGTTAGTTTAAGTAGACAGATCCACGCCATCCGCTAACTAGTTGCTCCGACATCCAATGGGAATGGGGGTGTGTCACAATGACTGGTGTACCATTTGTGTGTACCATTGCGGGAGACACAGCTAGGCTAGTTAGGTATAGCAGCTAGCTGGATAACTACATGGGTACCGCTTCCCTTAAAATAATAATAATACCGATGCACTTACCACACACGAGGCAGGACAGCGACTGGCGGAAGAAGGGGAGCAGCTTGTAGAGCTCCGCCAGGGCCCGGGGGTCGCGAGGGTCGCACTGCAGCACAGAACGACACGCAGACACGTACAGAGTGGTGGCATTCACCGGGTTCATCTCAACAGCCAAGGGACGGAAACATCCAGTCCGAGAAAAAAAGAAAAACACAAACGAACAAACACACAGTTCCTCCGGCGAAAGTCCCGTGGCTCCCGTTAAAAGGGGAAGCGCCTCGCAACTCCCTTCCCGTCCGTTCTATTATTGCCCAAAGGAGGATGGGAGCTGTGTGGAGGGCATAGATGGGCGATGTAGCTAGCTAACTACTAACGGTGCTAACTAGCTAACCTAACTTAGCTTTATCGCCAAAATAGTGCTGGTAAGATAGTCTATACACCAAATAGGTAAATGTATGTGTGATACAGCTAGCAGGTAAGTTAGCTGCAAATCACAGTTACAAACACACAGGTATGAAGTCTATGTTCGTGGTAGTACGGGTAGAACATTACTGTATTCATAATCACAACCAATCCATCTTTAGCGTTTTCCTCTTTTCCACGGCACGAAATATGCCCAAATGATCATCATGGCATAAAAATAAAACTGTAAATCCCATTAAGTGCATACATAAAAATAAATCTCGAGCAAATTAATTTATCAAAGCCCGTTCACTTGTCTTTCACACAATCCGTTGGCCGAGCAACACTCGCTGGTTGAGATATAATTCAACAACAATACAGTCACTGGTGTGGTGGCGCTCTTTCTCCAACTCCGGCCTCCAATTATCCACTGTTAGGCACCTTCGTACCAAATTCAAACAGAGCTGCTTTGCTAACGTTAATAGTAAAATCTTATTATTTTATTCTCCCGCATTCCTTCCTTAATCGCATCTTCCTCAGATTTTTAGCTAAAGTCGGCTCCTCTCCTCCTGGCCTGCATATTCGTGGCACGTAGGCAGTGATAGTCAGCAAGCAGCACGCTGATTCTGTTGTTGTCCGCGGTTCATGGCGGCTACGCTGCGAAAACAAAACAGGCCGCCTTGGCCCCCACTAGCGCACTGAGCTAAAGCCAGTTAGCGCAGGATAACTAACAAGAGGGGGCAAACTGGAAGAGGTAGTGGAGAATGGAAAGAGAGTATGGAAATATTTGTTGAAGTAGTCAAATAAACGCCGGAGTATATTTACGCCGGCCGCGCGAGCTTGCACCGGCGGCACCAGGATATCAGGAACAAAAATAGGCCGCTTTTCTTCTTTTTGGAATTAGTCCCTCGTTTTTACCTCCTCTCCGGTTGGGTATGAGCAGAAAAGCAGTCGGTGCGACAAAGTTCTCTGTTGGCGTTCGAAGAAGAATAACACTCGTGTATTATTGGAGTAAGATTGTAACAGGTTTGTGTAGCCTGCTGCTATCGCCAGGCGCGGAGGTTATTCTCCCCTCCCTTTTCCTCCCCACAGTCAATCAAACAGAGGGGCGCTGTTTCTCACATCTCGCGAGAATACAATTCTTCTTCGTTGGGTTTTTCGGCACCCTAGACACTTTCTTCACAGAGTTTCTAAACCCAGAAGTGCAACATCGCGAGACTTCCGGGAACGCTTGCGAAACAGACCAAACAAGACCAGGCCGAGGTTTGAGAAGTCAATGAGAGAAGTTAAAAATTATTCCTTAGTTGTTCATTTTCTCGAAATCTAAAGGCGCAACCTAGATTCAAGACAATGTCTTAAGTAGTTGAACTTCTTATTACTCCAACCTCGTGAAAGTGACAAACTGACACGTTTTCATTTTCGTCAAAAACAACTTTATATTGAAGGAGTACCTTTGATTTGACGGCTTGCACATGCGCAGTTCGGCGCGAGAGACCGTTGAACCCGATGACGTGTTTCTACGCATGAGCTTAGCTAGCCAACATCGCCATGACATCGCCTACAAGTGTGATCTGGGAGTTTTACTGGAGAAGCAGTTTCTGCCTAGCTTCATACTATACTGTCTTTGCTTTCTTCTTCTTCTCTGGTATTGTGGCGGTCCGCAAACAAGACAAAAATAAAAGAAATCAAAAAACCCATCCCACTCATTCAGTCATACTCCAAATCACATCCCTACACAGGCTCAGGGGTCTGTGAGGACTGAACATTCCTCGACAGGATTCCTTGTAAAGCCTCTGCTGTAATGTCTCTCCCTGAGTCTCAAAAAACTTGTATGGCAGCGAAACAGTTCATTCAGCCTCATTTACTGCCTTAAAAAAAACATAGCTGATATGGCTGACTTGCTTAAACAAATGTGTTTTTTTACTGACAATTGAGATGTACAAACTATGGCATAATGGGACAACGAGCGGATAAGAGGCAATCCGTAATTTCAATTAAGATATTAATGAGCGAGCTAGGATGGACGTAGTCAATAAAACTATTTGTTCAGCACATTTTAAATGTACAGCAACAGAATTCAGAACATGGGCCGTTCTTACAGTATTCTCCCAGTACACCAAGTCAGAACCGTAGGATAAATAAAGGGGGCATATAAGCAGACAATGAAAGCACTTACAATATTCAAGGATGACATTTCTCTAAAACAGGCTATAGGCTATGTGTGCACCACCAACAGCTAACAGCTTACTACACAACCTACACTTAGTATTACTTTCTTACCTACAGTATACATATCTCCCTGGCATATTACATAGTTTATGCAGCAGCATACAATACATTTTTGTCCTCACCTTGTTGTGCTGTGCTCACTTGACAGGAAGGTGATGTGGCAGTCCTTCGTGGGCAAATTTTGTCATCAAACTTTGTCATCAAAGTCTGGCATTCTCTGGATTTATGGGGCTTTCAAGACAATTGGGAGCTCGGAAAAAAACAAGGTTGAATCATGATGTCAGTGATCTTCAGGTCGGAGCTCTAGAAAGAGACCAGAGTTCTCAACTTGGAATTCCCTATTTTCCCAGTCAAAGTTCATTTTTTTCAGAGTTCCCAGTTGTGTTGAACTCACTGAAGTCTGAGATTTCCCAGTTCCGAGTTTCCAGTTGTTGTGAATGCGGCAGTAGTCATTTTGGATTGACAGCATGCCCAATGTGGAATGTTTATCCTTTTAAGCTTGGAAAAGAGACAGATACTTTTTATTTATAATTTCTCTTCAAAATGTCTCTTTATATGACAAGGATTGAAAAGGATTTGCCAGTAGATTGTCGACTTGATTCATGATGAGGACTGCTAGCTTGCTAGCTAAGATTTTGAAAGTATGATGTTGCCATGATCAGTCCAGTCAAAACTACGGTAGATATAACGTTATTTGACGCCATTTTATCTGTCGCCAATGACCTTGAGCCTTCTAGGATGGGCACTTCTAATGTAACTCTATTTCAGCACCCAAGGGGCTTGAATTTTTTAGCTCTTCCCGTAGATTTTGCAGTGACGTAGTGTCCCAATGACTGACAGAACACTGAGCCAATCACGGCGCAACTAGAGAACATTACCAGCCCCTACGCTCCGTATTTTCCACTGGCTGCCCCACCACCACAGAAAGCACTGAGCTAGGCTGAAACACCTGCATTTTGGAGTTGCCTTACTCAAGAAAGCAAAAAAGAGACCATGTTGTATGCAGCTTCATTAACTGAATTATTTATTTATTTTTTACATTGTTTGCAAACTCATATGTGACACGTATTAATGCCAAAATAACATGCAAAACAGGCAAAAAAACAACAACATATCATGGTCAAAAGTTTTGAGAATGACACAAGTATTGGTCTTCACAAAGTTCGCTGCTTCAGTGTTATGAAATAGTTTTGTCAGATGTTACTATGTTATACTGAAGTATAATTACAATCATTCCATAAGTGTCAAAGGCTTTTATTGACAATTACATTAAGTTTATGCAAAGAGTCAATATTTGGAGTGTTGACCCTTCTTTTTCAAGACCTCTGCAATCCGCCCTGGCATGCTGTCAATTAACTTCTGGGCCACATCCTGACTGATGGCAGCCCATTCTTGCATAATCAATGCTTGGAGTTTGTCTGAATTTGTGGGTTTTTGTTTGTCCACCCGCCTCTTGAGGATCGACCACAAGTTCTCAATGGGATTAAGGTCTGGGGAGTTTCCTGGCTTTGACTCAAAATGTCGATGTTTTGTTCCCCGAGCCACTTAGTTATCACTTTTGCCTCATGGCAAGGTGCTCCATCATGCTGGAAAAGGCATTGGTCGTCACTAAACTGTTCTTGGATGGTTGGGAGAAGTTGCTCTCAGAGGATGTGTTGGTACCATTCTTTATTCATGGCTGTGTTCTTAGGCAAAATTGTGAGTGAGGCCACTCCCTTGGCTGAGAAGCAACCCCACACATGAATGGTCTCAGGATGCTTTACTGTTGGCATGACACAGGACTGATGATAGCGCTCACCTTGTCTTCTCCGGACAAGGTGTTTTCCAGATGCCCCAAACAATCGGAAAGGGGATTCATCAGAGAAAATGACTTTACCCCAGTCCTCAGCAGTCCAATCCCTGTACCTTTTGCAGAATATCAGTCTGTCCCTGATGTTTTTCCTGGAGAGAAGTGACTTCTTTGCTGTCCTTCTTGACACCAGGCCATCCTCCAAAAGTCTTCGCCTCACTGTGCATGCAGATGCACTCGCATCTGCCTGCTGCCATTCCTGAGCAAGCTCTGCATGGGTGGTGCCCCGATCCCGCAACTGAATCAACCTTAGGAGACGGTCCTGGCGCTTGCTGGACTTTCTTGGGCGCCCTGATGCCTTCTTCACAACAATTGAACCTCTCTCCTTGAAGTTCTTGATGATCCGATAAATGGTTGATTTAGGTGCAATCTTACTAGAAGCAATATCCTTGCCTGTGAAGCCCTTTTTGTGCAAAGCAATGATGATGGCACGTGTTTCCTTGCAGGTAACCATGGTTAACAGAGGAAGAACAATGCTTTCATGCACCACCCTCCTTTTAAAGCTTCCAGTCTGTTATTCTAACTCAATCAGCATGACAGAGTGATCTCCAGCCTTGTCCTCGTCAACACTCTCACCTGTGTTAACGAGAGAATCACTGACATGATGTCAGCTGGTCCTTTTGTGGCAGGGCTGAAATGCAGTGGAAATGTTTTTTTGGGATTAAGTTAATTTTCATGGCAAAGAGGGACTTTGCAATTAATTGCAATTCATCTGATCACTCTTCATGACATTCTGGACTATATGCAAATTGCCATCATCAAAACTGAGGCAGCAGACTTTGTGAATATTAGTATTTGTGTCATTCTCAAAACTTTGGACCATGACTGTACAGTACCAGTCAAAAGTTTGGAGACACCTACTCATTCAAGGGTTTTTCTTTATTTTTACTATTTTCTACATTGTAGAATAATAGTGAAGACGTCAAAACTATGAAATAACACATATGGAATCATGTAGTAGCCAAAAAAGTGTTAAACAAATCAAAATATATTTGAGATTTGAGATTCTTCAAATAGCCACCCTTTGCCTTGATGACAGCTTTGCACACTCTTGGTATTCTCTCAACCAGCTTCACCTGGAATGTTTTTCCAACAGTCTTGAAGGAGTTCCCACATATGCTGAGCACTTGTTGGCTGCTTCTCCTTCACTCTGCCGTCCAACTCATCCCAAACCATCTCAATTGGGTTGAGGTTGGTGGATTGTGGAGGCCAGGTCATCTGATGCAGCACTCCATCACTCTCCTTCTTGGTCAAATAGCCCTTACACAGCCTGGAGGTGTGTTGGGTCATTGTCCTGTTGAAAAATAAATGATAGTCCCACTAAGCCCAAACCAGATGGGATGGCGTATCGCTGCAGAATGCTGTGGTAGCCGTGCTGGTTAAGTGTGCCTTGAATTCTAAATAAATCCCAGATAGTGTCACCAGCGAAGCACCCCTACACCATTACACCTCCTCCTCCATGCTTTACGGTGGGAACTACACATGCGGAGATCATCCGTTCACTCACACCGCGTCTCACAAAGACACATCGGATTGAACCAAAAATCTCAAATTTGGACTCCAGACCAAAGGACACATTTCCACTGTCCTAATGTCCATTGCTTGTGTTTCTTGGCCCAAGCAGGTCTCTTCTTCTTATTGGTGTCCTTCAGTAGTGGTTTCTTTGCAGCAATTCGACCATGAAGGCCTGATTTACACAGTCCTCTCTGAACAGTTGATGTTGAGATGTGTCTGTGACTTGAACTCTGTGAAGCGTTTATTTGGGCTGCAATTTCTGAGGCTGGTAACTCTAATGAACTTATCCTCTGCAGCAGAGGTAACTCTGGCTCTTCCATTCCTGTGGCGGTCCTCATGAGAGCCAGTTTCATCATAGCGCTTGATGGTTTTTGCAACTGCACTTGAAGAAACATTAAAAGTTCTTGAAATGTTTTGTCTGACCTTCATGTCTTAAAGTAATGATGGACTGTCGTTT